AAATTTCGTTAAAGCGGGCAAATAAATTACAAAATTACATCGAAATGGATATAATTTTTTACTTTTTCCGCTCGACTTACTTTGTTTTTGAACCAGAAACTCATTTATTTTGCAAAATCTTGTGCAAACACGCTTAAAAATTAGAAAAACAACTGATATTGATGTTATTTTATTTGTTTTACGCGATTTAACTGGTTTTGAGGAAAATAAAGCAAAAATAAATAAGACGAGGTTGTTTTTAAGCACGTTTTTGTACTACAATGTCAGGTTTTTGCGAGATTTTGCTTAAATAAAACGAAAAATCAACATATTAAGTCAAAAATTAAATTAATTTTTGGATTTCTTGAGAGTTTTAACACGTTTTTCAGCTAGAAACGCAATTCTTTTGCAAAATTCATTAAAAATAAGTTAAAAAAAAATAGGATTAGACCGAATTTTTTCCTTTTTTGGAAATTCAATAAGATTTTTAAACTGAAAGCTCTATTTTTTGCAAGAGTTTGCCACTGCATGTCAAAAATCACAAAATTGTTATAAAAAAATTATATTATGATATTTTTACCTAACTCTTAGGCTAAACATTTTGTCAATTTTTTTCTAAGAAAAAATAATCGAAAAATACCATATTGGTAAAAAACAGTTCTATTTGTTTTTCACAAAATATTACCAAACAGAATAAAAAAAATAACACATTTAAGTCTTTTTCGAATGCTTTTTTTTTCTCAAAACATAATTATTTTCCAAAGTTTTGTCTAAACACGGCTAAAAATCACAAAAACCATTGATATTGATGTTATTTTATTTGTTTCACTTGATTTAATTGAATTTTAAGCAAAATGAAACAAAAATAAGCTAAGGAACGGCAAGATTTGGCCGAAAATGCTTCAGTCCGTTTTGATACTAAAATCTCAGGTTTTTCACTAGATTTCGCCAAAAAAAACTAAAAAATCAAGAAATTAAGTCTCGAATTACATTTCTTGAGCATTTTAGCACGTTTTTTCAGCTAGAGTCGCAATTATTTCAC